AAATCCTGACTTGAAGCAAAGAGGTGGATTTTTAAAAAGCTTATCTATAAAGAATCAGTTCAAATTTAAATTCTATCTTGGAACTCTTTCATGCATTCCAGCTTTAAAGTTTATCTTTTGACAGGGACTTTCTGCAAAGGTAATGGGTAGCTTTGTCAATATAATCTGTCCACGTTTTTTTATTTTTTTAATGTTAAACTCCTTTCATTAAAAAAAAAAAAAAAAAACCCAACATACGTGTGTACCAGCGAGGGTAGCAGCAAATTTAGCAAGCCCTGGTTTGGACTCTCATCCAAGCTGATAGGGCAGAAAACCCCCATAAACTGTATTGATGAAGGCCAAACGTAACACCCAACAGTGTGGCCGCTGAACTATGGCTGCAATCATCTTGTGGTATTTCTTAGCGAGGAAGTCCCTTGCATTAGTTCCATTTGGAAACACTAAAATCGGATAAACTATTTAAAATACTAAAAAAAAAAGAGTCACACAAGAAGTGCAGTTCTATGTCGAACAAGTGCTTCAACTGAAACAGGACTCAGGTCTTCAGTAAGTGCTCAAGGTACGTTCACATGAAGGCTGAAAGGTGGCCTTGGCAAGTTTCTACAAATTCAAACATATTCATTTAAACACTAAGTTTCTGGTTTCCCCTTGGGATACACAGTTATGAGAAATATGAAGAAAATACCATCCTCTCTTACTGGGTTATTTTATTTGCTAAAAACTCTTCATTTCACTATTAATTATGGTAGCTGATAAGAAAAGACTTGAAATGTGACTGCATTACCTTAAATAGAAGAAGGAAAAAATGAAAACCTTTCGTTAACGGCACAAACCAGTAAGACGATTCATCATTCTCTAAAGAACAAACTGTCTAAATTCAATACAAGATTATTTGGGGGCAAATCCTACGGGACTTGGGGACAGATGAAAGAAACATTAGAAATTTTAATTGTTCTGATTATTAAAGTCATTAAAGCAATGAGGACATCCCTTTCCTGTTCTTTACAATATAGCAGTTAAAAGGAGCACTCCAGGATCCTTTCAAGAGCTAAACTTTTATAAAACCATGATGTCACCTCACTCCTGAGTGTTAAGCCATTCTTACCCCTCTCCCTCCCATCCGTCACTCAGGTCACCAAAGTGAACTGAGGTGATGGGCTGCCAAGGCCATTCTGGGCGGGACAGAACACAGGCTTCAAGCAGACACATCCGGGCCAATTGCCCTTACCGGCTGCAGCGTGTTACTCAACCTTTCTGTACTCGGTTTTCCCCAAAATAAAACAGAAACAACAGTACAGAGCAGTTGGGAGAATTAAAGAATCAAATTCTGGTCGGGCCTGGCACTTGCACGCACTCAAGTGGAGCTAGTTGCTACTATCATTTACTGTCCAGGTTAGCTCGTCTAGTAGCCAAGGTGAGCTCAAATGAAACAATTTCTCCATCAACAGGATTAAAATGTTGAGCATCCTTTCTAGAATGTATGGGCTTTTCATTAAAAGCAACTCTCAATTACACTTGGGTTGGTTCTCAACATCACTGACTACCAGAAAGAAAATCTGGAATTGTCATAGGCATCTCACTTATGTCGCATAGACTAGTCCTCATTCAGTGTTTTCTGTGAGAAGGCCTTTTAAGCCAAACCATTCTTAAAGAAGATACAGAACTACGTGCTTAATCAGAGGCAACTTGACAATGAGGCTGTCTCTTCCTGAGATCGAAGAGGAGGAAGCAGACGAAAGGAGGCAGAGGGTCTGAGAGGTCAAGAGAGGCTGATGAAGAATGAGGGCGTGGTAGAGCTGGAAGTCCCGCCCCGGTCAGGGGGATGGCTAAAGCCCATGCTTGCTGTGGGCCAGCACTGGGCCTGTTGATCTACAGATGGCGATGGCCTTATTCTCTGGGGGGAATTCTACTGGGTCTTTCCAGATCATTGTCCAATATAAAAGCATTTCCCCAAGTCTGACGGGTGGATTTTGGCTTACCTTCTATTTAAGATCATAGGTATAATTGTCCAATTCTTCTAACATAAATAACAAGATGTTTGAATTTTTTCATAATGATCCTCCCTCTAAAAAACACTTAAAACACCAAGAGGAAATTTGAACTAGAGTAATGCTGTACACTCACTTAAACCCCAAAGATCCATGGCTTAAAATTAAGTCATACAATCCATACACCGACATAAACAGAAACCAAATTTTAAGGACAAGTTCCAACTGTTCCAAAATATACGGTTGGGTTTATCACTGCCAAAACTATTTGGCTATGTTTGTGACGAGTCAACATAATTTTGTAAGCTGCTAGTGCGGTTCTATTTTAAATAAGTGACAGACCAGATACCCAAAGGGAAACTAAAAGCTTGTGCACAAATTGCCATTCTTTGAATTATCACCACTAGCAGAAAAACAAATTGACCTCCTCATGGTGTGTCACTAACCCAGATGCCTTGCATACATTACTTCGCTTTGCCCATTTTTAAGCTAATGTAGAGAAGTCTGGTGGTGAGGACCACAGACTACAGCACTTGACAGCCTGGGTGGAAATGCTGGCTTCTATCCAAACACTTACTAGATGTGTGATCTTCAGCAAGTATATTCATCTCTTTAAGCCTCAGTTTCTCATCTTAAAGTGATAGTAATTATAGTATCTACCTTGGAGGGCTGTGGTAAGGAATTAAACTTATAGAAAGAGCTTAGCATGGAGTTTAGCACATAGTAATTACTCAGTGTTAACTACTACTAGTTTGCTATTTTTCGTGTTGGTATCATTATCTCTACATTAAATATGGAATACTTAAGGATTAAAGAAGCTAAAAAACTTGTCCTGGATCTCACTCCATGTTTGCTGAATTCCAAAGCCCAAAGCTCCTTCCTCCTACCTTGCAAATCCCTGTGTAACTAATAACATCTTTATTGGTTCTTGGTATTGATAAATGTAGATTAAAGCTGGTAAAAACTTTACAAGCAGGTGAAATAAATATAGGAATTGATTTTTAAAAATTAAACAAATGCTCCTCCTCGTTGAGCTACTCCTGAGAGGTGACAGGATGACAAGAAGGGAGACTGAACTGTGGCCTTCATCTTTTGACCGAGGACATTTTCTTGGGGCAGCTTAGATACGCATCATTTTTATGGCTCCCGTTGCCTTTCTTCTGTGGATATGGAAGAACATTCTTGACTATGTGCAACCCCATTCTGGAGATATTTTCACTTACTCATATGGTTTGATACAGGGGGGGATTAAGTGGGGTTGACCGAGAGAAGTCTCGATATTTATGCTAATGTCCCAATTTCTGCTCCTGTCATTGGCATGTCCACAGTTGTACTAATCTTCATCCCTCCGTATCTGTATAAAGGGCAAAAATGTAAAAGAAAGCCAAGGAAGTAGTGATACTTTTTAAATTGTGAACAGCTGACTCACCCAAACCAACACAGGGCAGCTGGCATGCACTAGTGAAGGAGTAAACTCTAGGTTTCCACATTTTATACCTGCTGATTCAAAGTGAACCATCATCTCCATTCATTGACATATACAGCTGTGTCTGATATGGTACCAGGCACGTCCAGGATGTTATCTCATTTAGTCCTCATATAAATCATGCGCCTGTTTCACAACAGGCAGGATTTGAACTCAGGTCTGACTCTACAGACAATACTATTTATTATTTTTAAAGGTCTTATAAAATAGCTGACTCTTATCAAAACTGATACAAGGACTTGCATCCTTCTGTCAGGTGAAATCTGTGCTTCTAGTAACAGTAGCTAAGCCTCTGTCTCCCAACAAGGTAGTCTGAGGAGCTTTTCCTTCCCAAGTCAGGTAGATGCTGAAGAAAGGCGTGGGCCACATTACAGACCTCATGCAATGGGCCTCACTTAAGTTCATAACGATGTTGAAACAACTCCTCTATCTTTCCCAAGTGAAGCTGGTGCTGACAGCCACAGTACCCTGCTGATGTGGAAAAACTACTGGCTATGACTTTTTAGCCAAACTCAAACAAAGAGGATGGTTTCTTGAGGATAGAGAAAGGAATCCCAAGGGACTCTAGGAATGGCACCATGAAGAGACACTTTTATAGAAAGCTTAAAGGACATTTTCACATCAACCAGTCAACTGCTGTAATTCAAAGAACCATGGACCAAAAAGCAAAGCCATGCAGCAGAGGCCACGCCCTGCACCCAAGACTCCCATGCCTACCAAACTGCAAGGTCTGTATCCATTTCTCTGCTATACCCTATGACACAGTAAACATTTCTGCCATGTGGAATGAAGTCCACCAGCAAGGCAGCCCGATCAGCCTAGACACTAGCAATGCACCCTCATCTTACCAGAGCAGAACTGGAGATGCTACTCAAAGTTCTGAAGCAGCCACCAAGATGGCTCATCAATAGAAAACTGAGTCAGAAGTCCTTCCACGGGTCTTGCTAGCCTCTTAAAATAGAACTGCGGTTTTGCATGCTCTTAGAAAAACGGATGCTAGCCAGGTGCACTGGCTCACACCTGTAATCCCAGCACTTTGGGAGGCCGAGGTGGAAGGACAGCTTGAGCCCAGGAGTTCGAGACCAACCTGGGCAACCTAGTGAGACCTCATCTCTATTTCAAAAAAAGGAAAATGGACGCTGTCTCTTTCAGGTATCATTTCAGGTATACTTGGGTACAGCATACTATGTAGTAGACTTGGTAGTTAACAAAATATTATGCATGATTTAAGATCACAGATCTTTAAAAACTGCCAGAGATTAGTGTGGTCAACAGGGAGTTTATAGTCTGCGATTAGATTCCTCTTAGGCTATGAATTTTTAGCATCTTTTAGTGTATAGAGGGCTTGATGACAAGCTTATGGGTTTTAGAATTAAAATTAAATTTCATAACCTCATTACAAGCATATTTCTGTTTAAGTGATGGGCGACTTACATCCAAAATGCAGAGGTAACTGTTGGCTCTGTTTACCTGTCTTTTTCACTAGGACTGTGCTCAGTCAGTGCTGAAAATGAGAAATGGCTTACTTTTTCATGCTTGTGTTTCTCCTTCTCTTTTTCTCTCTTCTCTCGCTCTCTTTTCTCTTTCTCCCTTTCCTTCTCTTTCTTCTCCTTTTCCTTCTCTCTCTCTTTCTTCTTCTTCTTCTCCTTCTTGTCTTTCTTCTTCTCCTTCTCCTTAGGTTTCTCTTTCTCCTCAAACAGTTTTTCCGGAAGCATCGGTGACAAGGCAGGCAGCACGGCTGGGAGCCTCACAGTTGCGGCGGGGCTGAACAGGGGCAGGGCCATTTCCTTCGGGGGCAACACCAGAGGGGCCGGGGGCGCTTTCATCTTCTCTTCCCTCCCTTTATCTTTCACTTTGTCTTTTTCTCTCTTCTCTTTATCTTTTTTGCCCTTTTCTCTATCTTTTTTCTTATCTTTATGCTTCTCTTTCTCCTTCCTCGCAATTCCATCTTTCAATTTCACTTTGGGGTCCACATCTTCAAATTCTTTTATTTTAAATTTATAGGGATCTGAATCTTCGTCTTTAAGAAACTCCTTCCATGGATACTTCGTTTCCTTGCCAGCTTCCTTTTCTTTCTCTTTCACTTTATCCTTCTCTTTACTTTTCTCCTTGCTTTTGTCCTTGTCCCTCTCCCTATCCCTCTGCTTTTCTTTCTTTCTCATTTTAGTCTTCAGCTCCTTTTTCAACTTCTTCTTCACCTCCACGGATGTCGGCAGCTTGGCTTTCTCCTCGTACACTTTGTGGAGGGGCTCGGGAGTAGGGGGAGACACTGACGGAGAAGAGATGTAGGGAAAGTTGGGAGGCATATTGGAAGGCATCCCCATTTTTGCTTTACGCACTACCTCATCGATCGAGGCATCCATCGTCCATGAGTTATCAGAACTGGAGGTTCCGCCTGAAAGAGGCAGCGGAGTGGATCCTGACTTCGTGAAATTGGTTGAGGAAGTGGAAGCTTTGGGAGTGGTACACTCCGAACCTGAAATTCTCTTGGGGCTGGTAAAAATGTCTCCTTCAGATTCTGATCCAGAAGAAAATTCAAAAGGATCTGGCTCTCGCTCCGCACAGGCTCGTGCAATCACAGCATCGATGGAGTCATCGATCGTTTTGTCTATCACCACAGCCTTTTTCGGCTGGTTCTCACTGTTCAGTTTCCCAGCGTCAGGAGGCGTTTGTATCTGTTTCACCTGCAGAGTCTCTTTACTAATTTTTTCACATAGTGTAGCTGAAGGAGTCCTATTTGGTGTATCGGGTCTGACGGGTGCTTGGGGAATATGAGTCATAATCTTGGGGCTTTTGGGGCTTTTGGGGCTCTTAGAACGTCCAGGTGACTTCTTTTCTTTGGATACAGTTTTTGGTGACCGGATGGGACTTCCGGTCATTGCTGGTGACTGGGTAGTTTTAGGTGACTTAGTCTTCTGTCCTGGAGAGCCAGTTTTAGTCTTTGCTTTAGGTGTAAATGACTTTGCCTCCAATGGTTTTGCAGTTGGCATCTGGGATTTTGCAACTGGAGCCAACATTGGTGGCTCTGGCGACGGGGGAGCCAGGTCTGTGCTGTCCTGTACGTGGACTGGAGACAGCATCGGTGGGATCTTTTGTGCGTTTATTGAGCTGAGTGGTTCCCGAGCTTCCAATAAAACTACATCCAGGGTGTCTCCCTTAGTGCTGAGTAGCCGTGGCCGCTTCATGGCCGGCATTTCTTCAGCTTCAGGACTGTCCAGCGGTCTCTTACCCAGGAAGTTCTCATCATTAATGATTTCTTCCTCCTCCATTTCATCGTCTTCTTCCAAGGGAACCTGCATGGCTTCTGCTGACGTGCCCCCATCAGTGGGCACTTGCTCTTCTTCCTCCTCTGGCAAAGGAAGAAAAAAGAAATATTACTGCAATGTAACAAAACCCAACGAATAAAAATGATGCTTCAAATACGACTTCTAGGAAAGCGTTTAGAAAGTCAAACAGTGAGTTTTTAAGGCTCTTCCGAACGTGCGTGTCAGCATTCTTTCAAGAGTGGCAGTCAGTGATGGCAGATACACAAGCCTATTGCTCTTTCAAGCGGTCCGGCCCTAACTTCGGGATCTGGAGTTTGCTAAGTATTTCTGGTTTGTCTTCTCCTGTTTCTGGAATTAATTTTCCTAACCTGAGCAGCTGCTGTCTTTCTCTTTCCATCTCCCTCTCATGAACACACACTCACACACATCCCCCCTAAAAATCAGAGATGGGTTATTATATAACTACTCCTCTTAGAAATGACAGAAAGGCATTGTTTTATAAAGGACTTTTATAACAAATTTTAGTTCTCTGGGACTACTTATGTCTTTGATTCTGCTTGCTTGACGTGAGCCACTTGGAGAAGCAGTGTGGTACAACGGAATACACTAGGTTTGGGCAGTGGAAAAACGGCGTATGGGCAAGAGTTCTGGCGCTCCAAGCAGCAGGCTTTAGGGCATCTCTTCGCCTCTTTGAGCCTGCTTCCTGTCCCTTCAAAAGGAGCAGCTGTTACTTGCCCCCTGTACACTTGGTTCAGTTGTTGTGGATCAAATTATTTCTTTCTACATATATTAACTAAGCATGTACTGTCAATGGTAAAGGCTAAAGAAGCTTCTGGAATAAATCAGAAATAAATCATAACCTCAAATAGCTTCCTGTTTGGCAGGGAAATAACAGATGTATCTAACCCATAAAAAGTGATCAGCATCATCGACAGAGAAAGTGCTACCGCAGGTCAGAGGAAAAACAACTCACTGCAAGGTCAAGCATGTGCAGGAGACTGGAGTGATTATGTGGTGCATGGGATACTTGGAGACTGGGAGAGGTGACATCCAGGCTAGAGGTGGAACACAGGAAGTGGATAAGAACCAGGAGACAATTTAACTTGTCTGGAAAGTAGGGTGCATGATGGGGAGCAGTAGAAAGTTCAGGAAAGTTACAAACAGATCCTAGAACTTTTGAATCCCAGGAAAAGGAACATGATCTTTATTCGGTTGGTAGCTTGGACCTAGTGAAGGCTTTTAGACAACAGAGCAAAATGACGGGGTATTTGTTGGGAAAAGCACACTGGCAGGAAAATAAATGATGGATGGGATGGCAGGTAAGACACCAAGGAGAGGGGACAAGTTGGGGTTATGAGATGCTGTAGGTCAGAGGCAATAAGCATCTGAATGAGACCAGCGGTAACGGACAGGAAGCAATGGTGATACATGATCTTCTGAAGTAGAGTGGAATCTGATAAATGACAAGGCATAAGAGTTGAGGAAGGACTCAAGCACACTTATGAGGCATTGGGCTCTGGTGAGTGAGAAGCGTAGTGATTGACAGAAACAGGAAACAAGGAAACAGAAAAGGACGGTGCTGATTAGCTCAATCCCTGGACACTGAATTCGATGAACATTGAGTCAGCAATGCCCACTAGGCAGCTGAAACTATAATACTGAAGATCAGATCACAGGACAAGGTGTGTGGGAGAAAGATCTTTGTTCCGACAACTGAAATCACAATAATGAATGATCCAGTCAAGGGAGGAGTAGGAGTCAGCAGACTCATATACTCTGAGGAATACCTACATATCAGGAGAAGAGGGAGAACAACGAAAGAAATCCGTGGGGATCAGATGTCCAAGAAATCAAGGGGTGCAGGAGTTTTAAGGAGGAAGTCTAGTGAACAAAGTCAGATGCTCAAGAGGCCAGCAGGAGTGAGGCTAATAGCACAAGTCACGCCATGAAAGCAGGAAGGGAGACGAGACGGGAGGAGCCAGGTGGTGTGAGCGGAAGCATTCTGTGAACTCTGAAGAGCCACACCACACCAACACGTGGCTATTGCTGCTGTACTTGATAACGATGCCATAATCCGCCAGGCCCCAAGTCAGGAACAGGGGTCGCTCTAGATTCGTTCTCCTCTTCTGCTCCAGACCTGAATTGTAAGCACCCGTTTCCAACCGTTTCCTTTAATTAGGTTTCCCCACTGCCGCCGTCTTGTCCACTCCAGTCCCCAGCCCCTCTTCTCTGTATGACTCCAGCAACCTTCTAACTAGTCTCTGTCCCCGGAGGCAGCTTCCTCAAAACTGTCTTTCACTTGGTCTCACTGTGACTTTCTGAACATGCAAATCTGAGTATGGTTCCCATTTCAAAAAACTTCTCCTGACACCTTCGGAGGTTGTCCTCAAAAGGCGTCCTGTGGAGACCACGGGTTTTGTGGAACCTCTTCTGTAACAGACAGGGCCTCCTATTCTCTACTGAACAACCTCCCTAGGGTCATCTGTTTTACACGCAGGGCTTCTATGAAAGTTTCTGCTGTGAGGCTAAAACACGTCTGAAAATCACTACTCTGAAATATAAACGTCCATGTTTCCGAGCAGGACTGACACAGTGCTCTGGGGTCCAGTCAGGCGAGTGACCCAGGGGGCCTGAGTGCTCTGCTCATCTGGCCATGCTCACTTATTTGTACCTCCCAAATGTGCAGTGCAGTGTCACACTCTGTGTCTCTGCAGCACAGGCAACTCCCTGTGCCTGGAGTTCCTGGATGCAGCTTGGTTCTGAGGTGTGAGTCCCTGAGGAAGGCCTTGGGGAGACCCTGGGAGACTAGGGAAATTGCTCTAAAAGGAGCAGTCCCTAGGAAGAGGCTCCCCAGGAGGGTAGTTCCCTGTCCTCCACATGGAAGTCCTATTTTATAGTTAGAACTCGAAATTTGGGTTTTCTTGACAGTACTTTTGAAATTGTTACTTTACTAGTGTGCAATCTATCAGATTGGAACTGGCAAGAGGGCTACCAGATAGACATTTGAGCTGAAGGATGCCAGGCTTGGCTAGGAAAAATTGGATGGTTTCATAAACTACTTTAGAAAATATATTGGCTCATTTTGAATTTAGAGCTCCAATAACTCATAAAAGCATCAAAAACTTAATGGTGTTTGTGTTTGAGTATAAAAAAATTAGCATAAAGCAAGACTCCACAGGCTGGGGGTTATTCTGTTTTTGTCATTTTATTTGCCTTGTTTATTTTCACTTTTTGTATTCAAATTTGTATTCATCTAGAGATGTTATATATTTTAAAGGACTAAAAATGAATAATAAAACTAAACTACTACAAGTGTCAATTTTAGTAATACTTAAATAAATCAATGTTTTAAAATAGATTTTTTTGAGAACCAACAAGAATTCTTATTTTTATTAGTTTAATTTACAATTCTTATTTACTTTTAAGGATTTTAGTAAAAAGCTTTAGTTGCAGCATCAAAAGCAATGCAAATGAACAAAGAACATGGCCAGAAGAGAAAGCCTGAAACGTTTAGTGAGAACAGGAAAGAGTGTGGAGAGGTTTAAAATGACTTCTAAGACTGAAGCAGCACGATACCCATCAGCAAGTGTGAGCCACACACACAGAGGCTGCAGAAGGATGAGCACTGGGCACCTGAGGACATCACCAGCTTCGGAAGCAGAACCTGGGCAGCATCGTCCAACACCCTGCCCTAGTTCCTTCCTGGCTCCTCTGCTCGCTCCACCCCAATCCCAGCCTCCAGACAGCTATAGGCTTGATTTTTTAATCTGCTTCCTTTACAGTTTTATCATGCTTATACACAGCTTGCTTGCTTTTGAACTTTATAGAAGCGATCTCCTATTACAATGTTCTTTGTTTTTTGTTTTTTAACCCAACATAATGTTTCTGAGATTCCCCCAGGTCGATGCAGGCAATTGCTGCTCATTCATTTTCTCTGCCCCATGCTTATTACTAATCCATTCTCCTGGCATGACAGCTTTCCACTTGAGTGAATATATTTTATTTTACAAATGTCACAAAATTAAAACAAATAAATACAGTTGATCTAGTTTATGCCTGCTCAGACACAGTCTTGGTTCCTGGTGATGCTTGAGGAGTTTCTGGCTTCTTATTACATGAGTACTTCTAAGTCCACATTCCAAGAGTTTGGAATAAGGGAAATGTGCGATGACTACCAAAGGGTTTATTCTTTACTGCTGGTAAAAGTTCATGTCAGTTTGATAAATCTGAGTGGCAATAACGTACTCTTGGAGTACATGTGCATAATGATCACCATTTGCAAATAATCTGTAAGACATCCTACAAGTATTTTTAAATTTTCCTATACTCAACCTTGGAAACAGTTTTGTTATAAACCAGCAAAATTCGGTCAACAGAAGCTTAATATTACAAGATATCTGATCTTGATCTGTTATTACATAAAGGTGCAAAAAATAGTAAGAAAAATTATTTGAGTCACTGGTCTTTTCAACTTTAACACAAATATTGACATAGTAGAAGCTGAACTCCAAAGTCAAAAGGGTGATGCTATGATATAAAAATGTATTTCAGGCCTGGTGTGATGGCTCACTCCCATAATCCTGTCACTTTGGGAGGCTAAAGTAGGAGAACTGCTTGAGGCCAGGAGTTCGAGACCAGCCTGGGCAACACAGTGAGACTCTTGTCTCTACAAAAAAGAAAGAAAGATTTTAAAAAAGAAAAAATGTATTTCAGGCAGGTTGAGATTGCTCATGCCTGTAATTCCAGTGCCTTGGGAGGCTGAGGCAGAAGGATCACTTGAAGCCAGAAGTTTGAGACAAAGCTGAGCAATATAGTAAGACTCCATCTCTACAAAAAAATAAAAATAAAAAAATTAGCCGAGTGTGGTGGTGCATGCCTATTGTTCCAGCTACTTGGGAGGTTGAGGTGGGAGGACAGCTTGACCCTAGGAGTTTGAGGCTTCAGTGAGCTATCAATTACATCACTGCACTTCAGCCTGGGTAACTCTTCTGTACATATGTGAGAAACAAATATTGAAACAAAGGTAGTTCAAGATAAGCCAATTATTAGTTATGAGATTTTCAACAAGTTCTTCAACTTCTTA